GACTTCCCTTATCCACCTTCTTGCTTCTAATAATACCCAGATAGCAGTTAGTGTTCAGCCCTGGGGAGTGATTCCATTCAGACACAATCCCTGCTTCTACCTCATTCTAACTGGATGTTACTTCTCTTTTCTGAGCTTGCTGTGGGCATGAATGACAATTAAACTTATAGGACTGTTGTAAGAATGAAATGCTTATATTCCATGGATCTAAGATGCCACCGTCAATGAAACATACCATGGGTTTTCTGCCACCATAGGAAAAGCAATGCTGCCAGTAACCTAGGATGTGCCACTGACCGTAAGATGCATCCAGATTTCAGAGCTGGTAAAATGTGAAAAAAATGGTGTATCTGACATCACCAAAATAGGATTTAAGAGGATATTATGTGCACAGTATTTAGCAAGGTAATTTGGCTTATATAGGGTGGATCAGCTGTTTATGAAAGTGGCTATGCTGTTGACTGCAGTATCAGGAGTTAAGTAACATGCCCAAGCCTGCAAGGTTATGTGTAAGAGAAAAGTAAAATGGAAGAGTTTATTGTTGGATTGTAATGGGATGGGATCTCAACACTGATAAGGCAGGCCATTGGTGCAAGATGACGTTGGCTTCCTGAGGTGGATGGTCTCCACATGGCTGGGATGGCAAGGACTTTTATGAAATTATCTTAAAGCATGGATGGCCTCTTCTTAAAGTGCTCCTTTCACTTGGTGTTTCCATTTGTTTTCCATAATTGTCAAGTCACTGAGACACATAAGACTTGGGGAAACTGAAAGCTGATTTGTGAATCCAGTTCCCAGAGGTCTACTTCTGGCTGTCTTCCTAATTTTTGAAAAGCATGGAAGGGCTGCTTCCCTGGGTGCCCCTGGCATTCTCCAGCTGTGAAGGAGAAATGGCCATTTGTGAGATTCTCTTGTTTTCAACACTTCAAAGCTGCCAGAGCTTCAAGAAAACCAAAGTGTGATGGATTCTTTGCATTAACAAGATAGTATTTTTATGAACCTCGGGGATCACAAATTAGAAACAAATTCGGGCAGAGATCCTGATTTTCTAACTTTCACTTGAAATCTAAGAGCCTAACAAAACATTAATCTATTACAGAAAGACACCAGAAGCCTTGAGATCTTTTTCTGGAAATGTCAGTTGCATACAAAATGTGTTTGACTTTTCTATTTTTCTGTTTTAGTTTTCCCCTCCAAATCTAGCTATTGTGTATATGCTTTGTTCCACTCAGGTTCAACTTCTTGAAAGTGGACACCATTTTAGTCGCACAATCTGAAATATAACCTAGTTGAGTCTCTTCCCTTTCTGGAACGATAGGTCAACTATTATCTCATGTCCAAGACTCCCTGGAATGGTCCTCATCTGTTACTGGTGTTTTCAATACTCAGATGAAGTAATAAGCTCTGAAACACCAATGCAGCAGTGTTGATTGTTTGGGGGCAATTTGCTTGAAATTTATGTGTCTCCTCAGTTCATAAAAATGGCCTTGGGAGGGAACCACCGGCTTATGTCACATGACCCCAACTTTCCTGGAGCCACAGTAAAAACACCCCCACACAGGCACACACCAGTGTAAAGTTCAGGTCTTTTTATAGTAATGCAGAGGCGGGCATACTAAATTATTATGCCACATTTCTGCCAGATTTTGACTCCTTTTGAATTCTGTGTTATAAAGCCATTTCCAAGCCTTGTGTCTGGCTGGAGGTTTAGAAAGAGTAAACTTCCCATATTAACTATGGCATCCAAAGACACCTGGGCAGGTGAGAGGCACTGGTGACAAGGGAGGGAAGCCAGATGAAGGGACATCATGAGCTAAGGCCAGGCAGTCCCTCCAGGGCAGAAGGGGCAAAAGTCACACTCCCCTGTGCTCAGTGCTCCTTTCTGGTTTCAGTCCCATGGGGCTAGGCCCTGTCTCTCCTTTGAGGTCCTGGGAGCGACAGGCAGAATCCTATGCATTGGTTGTTGTCACTCATACTTCACAAAGGGACAATGATACCTTCATGTATATAGTCAAATGGGGAACGAAGTGATGTCGTGGGTTGGTATCCTGGTTTTCTTCTAGCAGTTCATGTTGATGATAATTTTTTTGAAAGGGTCTCTGAAAATTACACCTCTGTTTTCCTTTTACTTCCCCCATGTGAAACATGCTGTGCTGGGGTGTGTGTGTGTGTGTGTGTGTGTGTGTGTGTGTGTGTGTGTGTGTGTGTGTGTGTGTGTGTGTGTGCGCGTGCATATGTGGTATGTGATCTCAATTCCTTTTCCTAATCGCTACTCCATTCTAGGTGTTGGGTGTGGTTGTTGAGTCATTTGGGGCGTGTGTTTTGAGCTCGCTGTCTGTTCAGAGAACTGTATTCACCTGTTTTGAAATGCTTATCCTAAAGTTTCTTCGCTTTTAGAACATTTCCCCTCTAATGAACCAAAGCAATGGAATGCTGTTTTCATATTCTGAGTTACATCATTGTATCAGCTTCGAGAAGAATGTTGAGGTATGAAGGAAAGATTTGTGCCCTTATCTCTAGCATTTGTAAGTTTTTTTTTTCTAAATTGATCTCAATTAACTTTGATTTCTTCCTTTAGAAAACCATGTGTTGAAATAATACTTTGCCAGATGTGAGAACAGAGTTCTCCCCCAACAAACACTCACTGCAGCCTCATTTTAGTTTGAATATTTTGTCCCCCCCCCTCTTTTTTTTAAACTTCTGCTACATTTATTTGGCCAGTGGCTTTGTTGACAAGAATATCTTACTTTATCTATGGGGATATACTAATTTTATATTAATACTTTAAAGTTCTTCCTTTTGGTTGCTGATGAAGACCTTTTTAATTTGTAATTTAAAAATTTGCCTTTCCCTTATATATAACTTGTTTTTGCCAATTTCTGATATAAATCACAAATTTATTCATGTTTCTTGTCATCAGAGAGCCAAGGCCAACATTACATAGTGCATTTCTTCCCCTCCAAGTGTTGCTGGAGTCAGGGAGAAAGGCAGTCACCAGCCTGGTTTCTGCTCTGAGTGTTTAAGGCCAGGTACCCAGCACCACTACAGGAAAGGGGATCTGCTCAGCACAAATTGCTTAAGAAGCTATAATTTTTGCCTTTTTTATTAATATAGCCTCATGGTGCCTGTGGTGCTGATTTGACTTTTAACCCCATGACTCTCAGTTTAGAGTCCTTACATTCACTCATTCAGAAGACAGAACCACGTAATTTAGCACCCCAACATCTAGGATGTCCATCACCACCGTCACCTTCAGACAGCCACCTCATGTTCTTCTGTTGGTGGATGGGATGGTGGTGTATAATTAAGGTATTGTTTCCCTCTTGCACCTGATTCTGGCTCTCTGATTGGCACAACTTGACTTTTGGAAGAGTGTACATTCCTGCTTAAACTCTGACCTTGGTCTTTCGCATAGTGTCACCGGGCTGTGATTATGGGGTTCTAATGAAGTCAAGGCTGGAGGTTACCTAGGCACAGATACCTGGCCACCATGCTGAGAGCAAGGCAGAGGTTCATTCCTTCTGACTCTTCCCACTCACCAAGTATAGAGCCATAGAGCAGCCAAAGAAGTTTGTGCACTTGGGAAGCAGGGAGAACACCAGGTCCTTGGCAAGTGGGGTTGGAGGGACAAACTAATCAGATGCTTCTGGGGATGGAGGGTGATCTCCATCTCAAACGGACAGCTGCATAAGGCTCTCCTGCTGAGGGGAGTATCCTTACTTAAAGGTCCAGCCAGAGAACAAGAAGGGAGTGTTAATGTAAAGACAATTCCCAAAGCAAAAACTGAGAAGGGCACCACAGAGGTGTGGATATGGGAAAGAGCTGTTGACAACCCAAGTCTGCTTCTTCCCAGCGCCCTGGAACATCTTCACACCTCGTTCAAGGTTAGGTCTGCTCCAACATTTCTTGATCCTGAAAGATGAGAAGGTCTCCATGGTCTTCTTTACTGGCTCCAAAGTTCCATTTAAAAAGTAATCTGTGCACAACCAGGATTTACTTCACACAATTGATAGCGATACAGAGGATGCCAGAAGACTGAAATAAACATGAGCGGATTTCTTTTTTTTTTTTCTGTTCTAAAAACCAAAATTGGATTGTGTCATAAATGCTCTGCATAGTGGCTATGCAATATATTATTCAAGTAGCTGAAATTTCCAAATTGAATTTGCCTTTGCTGATTTCTCTGTAGAATATCAACACAGCCATGGCTAACCACTTGCCTGTCTTGGAACCACAGAAAAATGACCCAATGATGACAAATTTCCATTTCTTCTCACGAAATCATGCAGAAAAATAAAGATATTAATAGAAAGTAAGGAGAAAGAGAGAGAAAAGAGCTCTTCGTGATCCAGATATTTTAAACATCCTGATATTTGTAGGCATCTGGATATTCGCAGCTTTTAGGAGGATGGGCTCATTTATCATCCAGATGTTCACCATTGTGGAAGAACTGCTTGAACTCTGTTTCAGTTAATAGCATAGAGAAGAAAAGGCCACCTCTTTGGCTGGCCTTTAGTGATCTCGTCTCCCTTTGCTCTCCTTCTGAGGTCCTCTTCCTCAAAGTCTACAGGCATGAGGCAGGGTTTTGCCAGGTGCCTAGGTGGCAACCTTCACATTTCTCTTTTGTGTTTTTAATCTTCATGACTGTACTGTACCCTGTCTGCCTGAATTATAGATTGCGTTTGTCAAATGATGACAAACGATTGATGTCTTCTAAGACCTTTGAAATTCAACTTCCATGAGCTGAGATTAAAGTGCCTATTACTTGCCTGTTGCAGTGCAGCTAGGGTGCTTCCAGTGTTTCCAAGCTGGGCAGTTCCAACACTTAACAGTCTGGAGGGAAGAAAACAAGGCATTTTTTTTTCTTCTGAAAAGTAGATATGGATACCATAAAAACTGCCTAAAAAGTGTCCCTGTTAGAAGTAACTCTGAAATCAGCAACTGTGGAGACATGAGGGTTCTTTGGAATGCTCTGAGAATGTGTTTCTTTTGGTCTCCAGGAAGCCTTGTCAGTTGTGAGTGAGGACCAGTCGTTATTCGAGTGTGCCTACGGAACGCCACACCTGGCTAAGACAGAGATGACAGCATCTCCCTCCAGTGACTATGGCCAGACCTCCAAGATGAGCCCACGTGTCCCTCAGCAGGACTGGCTGTCTCAACCCCCAGCCAGGGTCACCATCAAGATGGAATGCAACCCTAGCCAGGTGAATGGCTCCAGGTAAGGAGACGCTGCCCTGTTCTACCTCATCTCCCACTTCCCACCCTTGGAGAAGGCGAAATGGAAGTTAGTCAGTCTTTTCCAAAGGTTGTTCCAGACGGGGGGCCATCGGGGTGGGAATGGGGGCACGGCTAAGAGAATGTGTTCCGCAGTGATTTGTGCTGAGGATAGAGGTTGTAAAACCGGTAGTATATTTACCAAGAACTCTCTTTGAAGATGTGGTGCTCGATTCTATTTCCCAAGCACGAGGGCTTGGTGGGAGGGGGCTTTGCCCACATATGGCACAATTCATCTCTGAGGTTTTATGGCCTGGAAAATAATGCTGTCTTAAGCTTTTATGGAGGGAGAGTGTCAGCTAGTGGCCATGCAGTACGGCATATGTGGAAGACATTTGATTTTGCTAAGGGATCCAATTGTGCACCCCTCCCCCATCCGCCCTCTTCCCCCCCGCCCCGCCCTTCTCTTGATATGTGCTCGCTTAACACCAGGCTCGTATATCTCCCACAGTTATTGCCTCCTGGGTTTTTCATGAATTGTAGCATCAACTGTCCCCTGCACTCAAAAGCGTCTCATTACATGAATAATGAGAAAATGCGAAGTAAAATTAAATTGATATTATAATATACCATCTCGAATATAGTCAGTTAAAAGTAAAACCTCAGGCAAAGAAAGGGTCGTTTCTTTTCACGTTGCATCGTTACATTTCTGCCTAAAGCCACAAGCACACTTTCAGTTTTCTCACGTACAAACCCCTTTTGCATCCTGCAGCCCGTCAGTCCCTGGCAGCCCCATGGGGAGCACTTGGCCCCATTGACGGACAAGCAGGCAGTTTCTGGGCTAGCAGCACTTCCAGGGACTCAGAATTTGGATTAAAACCAGGGGTGTCTGACTCCACACCCAGAACACTTTCCACCATGCAGCTATCACAGGGCCTCTTTGTCACATATATGCCTTAATCCTAAATATGTTCGAGTGTCATGTTTTATAAGCACTGGAAATCCATTGCGTCAACTGCTAGTGTGGTGTTCACAGAGGTGCCAAGTCACCGTGCCCCAGAGGGATGTTGGTAGTAAGGCTAATGGTGCCACATGGCGGGGGGTATGCCAGAACTTTCCTGGTCCTGGGAAGCCCGTCCATCACTCCTGTGCACCTCACTTTTTTTGAGGTTGGGAATAACTGCTCTTGAATATCACAGTGGTAGCTCATCTGGGTAGAAGTCAAGGCAGGTCTCGCTTGGGTCTCAGGAAGCCATGAGTTCCTGGTGTTCCAAAAGGACCTTGGTAGAAAATTCATGTCAATATTTTGGAGTAGGTATTTCATATTCTTTCCATTTGATAGAACATTTCTGAGACTTAGAGCAATGGGGTGTCAATATGTTCTTCAGAATGAATGGGGTTTACATGGAAGAGTGAGTAGAGTGATGCCTGGAAATACCAACTGACTGAATTTGGGGAGGATAGACTTCCATGATCCCACATCTCAAAGCAAGACACAAAGCTTCTCTAGAGCTTAACTTTTACCTGCAGGAAACATGAGAGAGGGGACAGAGACAGAGACAGAGACAGAGAAAGAGAAAGGATTGAGAGAGGAGAGAAACACCCCTCAAGCAAAGGAACCTGTCACAATTTCCAGCTGACAAAAGCACAGTGGCCATGCCCTGACCCCTGTTGGAGTAGCTGTGCCCTGACCTGTGTTCAAGGCTGTGGCCTGGACCCAGCTACAGGAAGGCTCAGCTACAGGAAGGCCCATCTGCACTCAACTTTGCTCACAAAGGAGGCCGAGCAAGAAGGTGAGAACAGCGTGGCAGAATTCAAAGCTTCTCTTGTGCTCACTGTGCTACTCCTGAATCTAAAACCTAAAATTAAGCCAGCATTCTGTCTGTGGGAGAATAGCAGGCACTGTGTCACCTGTGTTCCCTTGGTCAGTGGCTGATGTCCACTTGCCCACCTGGCTGGCATGAGACATCCTTTCCAGCCTACAGTGGTTCTCCAGGGCCTCAGGATGGGTCACAGGGCAACCTGGTGCCTAGTCCCCAAGAAAGACAGGAGGGCAGCTTCAGGTAGGCCCCTCTCCAGGTAGACTGGGGAGGTACCAGGTGGCTGTTGTCTCAGGGGGTGAAAAAGCTGGCACTGGGCGGAGGCTGTGTTCCTTTTCAGGGGCTCTGGACACTTCCTTGCAGGGGGACAGTGGGCACCTCAAGCTCTTCCTGTCTCAGGCCATGGAGCTCCAGTACTACCCAGAATCCTCCCCTCCCAGCTTCTTACCTGCAGTTCAGCTTTTGAAATGAACAGTGCTGTTCTTTGGCAGGCAGGCACCTGGGGACCTCAGACATGCCATCTTGCTCAGGGCTGTCTGTTTGGTAGGTACTCTCTGTGGAGAGAGCAGTCGAGTCTGTCTGTCTTTAGCAAGGCCCGTGTGCTTCCCTGGAACAGTGTGAAACAGGGAAGGGGAGTGTTCTCCCCAGAGCCTTCCATGCCTGTGGCATCCAGTGATGACACAGATGTCAATCATTCCCCAAGAATGTTCTGGGAATATAGCAGATGGCAGGTAGTCAACCTCTTTGTAGGAGAGAGAAATTCAAAGCTCAGACCTGACCTTCCCTGAGCTCAGAGTGTCTGCTGGATTTGTGTATGTGGCCTGGCCTGTCAGTTGGTTTCTCTGGACAGATAGACCTGCAGGATTTTTTATTTTAGGAGCTGATTATAAGGAATTGGCTCAACCATCTGTGGGGTTGGCAAGGCTGAGATCCTTAGGCAGGCTAGAAGCTCAGGCAGGAGTTCAGTTTCATGCTGAGGCAGAATTTCTTCTTCTCTGGGAAAGCTATGATTTTGCTGTCTTTGGCCTTCTACTGATTAGACAAGGCTCCCACCCCACCCAAGAGAATCTTTGAGTTATAGTCAACTTCCAGTGCCTTTGTGCCCAGATTGTTTTGGGTTAAGTGTTGTAGCTTAGTCAGATTGACAGGAAAACAGCCACGACACCGATGCTACCAGAGCATCTATGCTGGTCAGTGAGGGTGGGGTCATCTCAAGTTTTAGATCTCCACGTGAGCACGTCCGAGGACAACCAGTTCTCTGATATCAAAGGGGCTTAGCCAGGCTGGGCAGGAAGTGAGAGGCGTCCCAGAATCCAGGGACTCTCCAGGCTCTGTGTCCTCACAGACCGTGGAAAGGTGTGGGTGGGGAGTGAGAGTGTCTCGTCCAAGTCTGACAGGCTGCCTGAGGATGTGGATGAAGAAGAAGCAACGAGTTCCTTAGTGGGACTGAGATTCATCTCACCACTGGGTTAGAAGTGGCATAGGTGGTAGTGGAGGCCAGCCTTGGGTCAAACCTGCAAGTTTGCTGACCTGTCCAGCCCTGCAAACACCAGGACAAGCGTGCATTCATTCTGCTTTCTTCTGGGGGCTGTGAGTGGGGACCTGGACTGTGCCAGCAGCACCAGGGGTGGAGTCAGGGGTCATAGAGATGGCTATCGACTGGGGGGGGTCCCAGAAGGGCAGTGGGGAGCAGGTGCAGCCCCTCTGCATGTGAGCAACACCAACAGGGTGCAGCTGCTGGACATGCCACCTCTCTGCATCTTTCTGGTGTGCCCCAGACTTACCCCATCTCCTGGTGGCCAGCCCAGTGGCTTCTTCTACCTGCCCCTGCCCTAGGCATGTGTGTAGCTGGCCTTCCTGCAGCAGCAGTGTACCTCTTGAATCTAAGTCCAAAAGCAGTTCACTAAATCAGCAGGTGCCCTTTGGTTGGGACATGCAGGCTGTGACCTGTGTGGGCCTTGCTGTTCTTCTGTAAATGTTTCCATGAGAGATGTACACTCCTCCAGCTCTCTGTAGTGTTGCCAGGGCAAGACCCAGCTCCAGCCACATAGGATCCTCCTTTGCAATGGCTCTTTGTCTGTGCCTGCCCATCTGTTACTTTCACAGGCCAAATGCTTTGCATGGAGGGAAGGAGTTCCTTTCCCAAGTCGTGGGATGTTGCAAAGCCTCAGGCCTAACGTGATTACAAGCTCCTGAGATGAAATATAAGTGTGAAATGAGAACTGTTACCATTGTAGTAGTTTTTATAAAAAAAAGTAGTGTAGGAGACGCAGGAGAGAAAGGAGCTGCCAGTCTGAGCCAACAGGCACGTCATTGTGGGTTTGGCTTGGGTATGGCTGGTTCAGATGGCAGAATTCTTTTAGACATGAATCTAATTTCATGTCGTGTAGACAGAGGACCTCACTTCACAGCTTCAGCGGTCCCTGGAGACCCTGCACCTCGCCTTTCCGCACTCCAGACTCACTCACAAAAAAGCCCCTAGGGCTCACAGGATGGGGAGCTGGTAGTATGTGACCAAACTCAAACCAGCTGTTTTCCTGTATCTTATCATGGGGCCCACTGGGCGTCAGTGCCTGCCAGGCCTCTAGGGAGCCCCCTACTGCTGGCCTTAGTTTACTGGGCTCAAGCTGCTATAGATAAGCCAAGAGGCAGCTGTCTTGTGCATGGCCCCACTGAGCTCCCTTGCAGTTGCAAGGCAGGACTGTGCCCTATGCCCTGTGCCCTGTGTCCAGCAGGCTGCTTTCCTCTGTCTCTGCATCCCTGGCCTGGCCAGCAGGACCACAGGTGGGTGCATCAGGCATCGCCTTCCCCTTTCTACAGGTGATGGCAGTTCCTGTGGCCCACCGACAGCTCATGGCAGCTGGAATTTAATGAGTTGATGTGAATACTGGAGCTAATGGTTCCTAATCACTGAGAGCCATTAGCTCATTGACTCTATTGGGTAGAGTTCTCTGGTGGGTCTCAAAGTAGAGCCCCAGGATCAGCAGCTGAGGGCATGCTCACAAGGCAGACACTAAGGCCCAGCCTCAGACTCCTGCATCATAAAAGATCTGGGTGGGCCCTCCCCAGCAGGCTCTGTTTTTAGGAGCCATCAGGGGAATATCCCACTGCTCTGTGGCCTGAGCAACCTGGCTGACCAGGGAGGAGGACAGTGAGAAGGCACTGTAGCTGGGTGGATGTGGCC